TGGTACATACGTCATAAAATTGCGTCTTGAAACCTCTCTTAATACCACTTGCCTCTGACTAGCAATAACTAATTGTTGAAGGGTAATTTCAGACATTTAATCAAAAACTCATTCAACAAAACAACCCATTAACTTCAAGACGATGGAATCGGAAGTGCTAAAATGCTAACGTTTCGGCCTATGAAGAAAAAAAAAGGGGGGGAAAATTATTTTGAGTGTGTAGCAGAAAAGTAGGCAAGTTTTGGGCCACACAGTACTACCACCTCATAAAATTGTATCTTAAAACCACAACCTCCCTTTCTCCCTCATAACACCCCTTACTGCTTTACTTGATGTTCCACTACAAAATACTTTTCAATAAGACAGGCATCAACACAAAACAGAAAACAATGTTCATCAAACCCCTTCATGCGGTCTGTGAAGTACTGTTGTCATTGGGCTCAAGGTATTCGAGCCCCTCAATATCAAACACACATACATACACGCACACACAATCTGTCCACTGCCATGGCATATGTTGACTATTAGTCATCAACTGCACCTCTGAAGGCTTCCTATCTCTGACGACACAGCTCCTATCTCGCCAAGCCAGCAGGTACAAAAAACTAATTAACAGTCATAAACAGAACAACGCTACTCTGCAACTCGCAGCAGACAGCTGGTGGTGCTGTCATTTATTGGAAGGCTCGGACCCCTTTTTCCATTCATAACAATAGAAAAGTGTCTGCGGTCCATTTGTAGTCTCAGACAAAGCGGCTAAGAGGGTGAGCGGGGGAAATCGATGCTTTTGCAGGGGAGATCAATCATGGGGCCGGCAGGCTGATAAAAATCAATGTGAAGTGAGGGCCATGGGTTGTTTTTCAATAGGAGACAGTGCACTATGTACTGCAAACATAGAGACTGTAACCGGGGTGGACTAGCGTGCTTCTCAGGAGAGAGCCTGCAATGACTTCTGAATCTGGGGTGTAAGCCAGAGATGGTTTCAGCCTCACATGGCACCCTTACATACCACCTACAGTCCGTTTGCTGACTGTCTGATCCATATGGCCAAATAAAAATGGCTGAATAGTTAGCAATTAGCATACGCAACCATACAAATAAGCATGTTCTTCTGTGTTATGTCTACAATTGTTTGTGGACAGACACTGCTGTCCTATTAGTTTTGATCAGCAATGACCTATTATTGTGGTATCATCAATTTCAGACTTACCTGTTCTTAAACGGAACATACTGCACAAGTGAACAGAGGTTACCCACTTTATGTCAGTCAGACATTTCTTCAAACAAAATGGACAAAAATTCATGCAGATAGTCTTTAAGATTGTATTAAACTACGCAAATTTACAGTCCTTTTAAGCAAGTCAGTTCACTCAGCTGGAATTTTGTTTATGCCCCGGGACCAGTGTTGCCAAATCTGCGGTTTTACCATGGAATTGGGCTACTTTTACACTGTTGCTGCAGGTGTTTTTTTCAGTCTGTGGGTTAAAGCGATCTCCCCCCACCCCCTGGAACGCGACTAGGCTAGTTTTGATTAGCAGTTGTGTTGATTTTCTTTCGCAGACCTGGCAACCCCGCCTCATATCCATTCTTACAAGTACAGCTATTTACTCAAATGTGGAAAGCTGGACTTTATATCTTTAAAGATCTTTACAACTGTTTGTCATACTTGCATTGCAAAAATGATTTCAAAGCTGAGTTCTTTAGTAATTTAAGTTGACATAACCTTCAGTTCCTGAACTTTTTCGTTCAACTTAACATGTTACGTTTTTACAGACTCAACTAGTTTGAGTAAGTTGACACAACAAAAGTAGTTGCCCCCTCAACTTAGAAATATATTTTTGTGGATTTATTTGAATAACAATATCATGTTTTCAACAACATATTTTGTGGAATCTTGTGAATAAAAGTTTGAGATAAAAAAAAAAGTTTGTCAGCCAAAAATGGAAAATTTTCACCATCATCAAATTTGGTAAGTATATTTGTTCTATAAGATCTAAGAAGAGTATAAGAGTATGTCAATAATAAAACTTGTAAAGTTGAAAATAGTATATTCTTAGCATATTCTAAGTAAACTTTCTAAGCAAAAAGACCACTCAAAGTTGAGAGAAAAAAATCAATAAAGTTGAGTTAGCATGTTGCTAAGCTAAACACTTGATACTCGTTTAATGATACTCATTTAAAACAAATACAGATTTTACTGTGTATTCTTTAGTGCCTTTATTCATAATAAGGTACATTTAAAGCTGATTGAGAATTCGATCAAACAAAAGTATTTAAGTAGTCTGTGTAAGTAAGATGCCTAACTTTTGGAAATGCTTTCAAAATGGGAGCGTTCCACGATGTGTTAAAATGCTGCCTCCGTAGGCAGCTCACAAGGTCTTGGAAGAGAGTACCTGTTTAGAATCACCTTGAGCTCTAAAATGTGTTCATGGTTCGGGTGCTGAAAAAGAGCTAGTGATTAACTGAGGGGCATTTGCTGAGATCAAGAACTCGAGAAGTTAGTTTTACACTGCAGAGAATGATGATACTCAAAGTTGAGTCTGAAAAGTAAGAATAATAGGTGGACTGAAACTGAGGAGTCAGTAACCAGGGATGACAACTTGAACCAGAGGTGAATAAAGATCCATTGATGTGGTTAGGAGCAAGAAATGGAGGTGGACACTGACTATGCCATGCCTCTGTATGGGTGGACAAGAAATCCAAGCAACCAGTGTCATTTCCCAGCCACATACAGTATTGCATGATTTGAGGTGTTATTTATGCGGGATCAAATATGTGGTATGAGTTTAGGGTTTATTAAATATATAAAAAGACTATTAAATGTAATAATAATATTTAGTTTAAAATTAAGGTTTAAATAACTTAACTATTACATTTATGTGAAGTTACACATTTTATTAATGTAGGTCACCACTGAGATATAACTGCATATAACACAATCAAAAGCATTTAATGAGAGCAGTTAAAAGAGTATCAAAATAAAATATAAAATCCTTCATTATTTTTGTTTCTTTAGGGATCTTTTTATCTCCCACCACCTTAAACTTTTCTGGATAATGCAACATTGTTAAACCATTGGTATCTCCAGCTCTGTGTTTGAGATTCCATTTGCTGACGTTGGTCATGCTAAAAGACAACAGACACCATGGTCTTAAAGGGTTAGCTCACCCAAAAATGAAAATTCTGTCATTAATTACTCACCCTCATATCGTTTCAAACCCGTAAGACCTTCGTTCATCTTTGGAACACAAATTAAGATATTTTTGATGGAATCTGAGAGCTGTCTGACCCTGCATAGACAGCAACGTTCCCAAGTCCAGAAACGTAGCAAGGACATCGGTAAAATAATCCATGTGACATCAGTGGTTCATCCGCAATTATACGAAGCTACGAGAATACTTTTTGTGTGCAAAAGAAAAAAAATAAATGTATTCAACAATTTTCTCCTCCGCGTCACCCTGTAGCGCCATTTTGGAGAATATCCGCTGGACGTAAACAGTGTATGCTGTTCTGTGTCAGCTGCGTCACGCCGGATCTGTTTCCTACGTTGTTGTGATTTGATCTGAATGGAAACCTCATATCCGTGTGACGCAGCTGACACATGAGGGTGAGTAATTAAACGACAATGAAACGACATGAGGGTGATTAATTAATTACAGAATTTTCATTTTTAGGTGAACTAACCATTTAATAGCTAATACACAAACGTCCTGCAGTGATGCCACGTTCAACACAAGTGAGCCTGTCATGTGAATGATTTTAGATGTTTTTTTTAAACGGCATCAAAACAAAGAAATCCACAAACACACAACTGATGTGCCCTATTTCTAAAAGCAACTTTCCCCACAAGTTATGGATTTAATTTTACATATCTAAAGTTGTTTTTGCTGCGCTGACATTTCTATGAATGATGATTGTGAGTGATGTTTTACTTGTTAAACTTCAATGATGACTGAATATAACCATACGAAAAATGTAAATTATTTTATTATATAAAATTATAATTGTATATATATATATATATATACAGTGGGTACGGAAAGTATTCAGACCCCCTTAAATTTTTCACTCTGTTATATTGCAGCCAATTGTCCCTGACTTTAAGACCTCTTAAAATGATAATTAAGATTTTTGTTATACCATTTGGATATTTAGGACATCTTATTACCTTAAAATTAATAAAACTTAATTTAAGACATTTTAAGATTTTTAAGGACCCGTGGGGACACTAAAATATAAAAACATGTCTACACATACACATACATATTATATACACTATTATTCAAAAGTTTGGGCTCAGTAAACATATTCTGAAAGAAAGAAATACTTTTAATCAGCAAGGATGCATTAAAGTGATCAAAAGTGACACTGTTAGGGGAAAAAATCTATTTCCAATAAATGCTGTTTTTAACGTTCTATTAATCAAAAACAATAATAACAGACAAAAACAAATGTTTCTTCAGCATCAAATCAGCACATTAGACTGATTTCTGAAGGATCACATGACACTGAAGACTGGAGTAATCATGCTGAAAATTCAGCTTTGCATCACAGGAATAAATTCAATTTTCTTCATATAGAAAACAGTTGATCCAATAAATCAAAACCATAAGAAACTTCTTTCAAAAACATAAAAAAAAATCTTGCCAACCCCATACTTTTGAACAGTAGTGTTTTTGCAGCACATACAATACTTAGGAAGAAAATGTAACTATCCTGACTATTTAAGTTATGGCACATTAACTAAAAAACAAGCTGTCTTCATATAGAAAACAGTTGATCCAATAAATCAAAACCATAAGAAACTTCTTTCAAAAACATAAAAAAAATCTTGCCAACCCCATACTTTTGAACAGTAGTGTTTTTGCAGCACATACAATACTTAGGAAGAAAATGTAACTATCCTGACTATTTAAGTTATGGCACATTAACTAAAAAACAAGCTATTATAAAGACTCTTCACATCTCTGACAGGGTCATCACTAGAGTTTCAGCCTTAATCATTGACCTTGTCCTCTGGCTGAGCCTTGGAACCTCTTCAGAGAAGGCAAACCCAATGAGGATACACCCACCAGGGCCATAAAGTAAATTGGTTTCAGCACCTCAATCCCATCCTCATTCTGCTCATGATTTAGAGGAGGAGCAGGGCTCTCTCTGGGGTGCCTGCAAGCCCCAGAGCTTTCATACAGAACACAGTCTGACACCAGAGCCGCCCGCTCCGTCCCCCAGGAACCTCCTGGAAGACATGTGCTGTCGATCCCTCAGTTTAGCCCATTAGCTGCAGGGTTTATGGAGCACGGAGTGAAGCAGGAGTCTGAATCATGAGGAGATCATCAGCCCTGGGGCCCAATGCCTGCTGTGACCTTTGATATAACCCTCAGTAAGGGGCCAATCAGAGCCAGAGACATCTTCCAATTCCCTTTCATGGGAACTTCGAACTGCGTCCTCTAGGGGTCGCTATGGGGAACGCCTCGTCGTGACCCGTGTCTGAAGCATACATTGAAAAAACACCAACTCGTTGGCCGGCGACAGCCATGACGTCACTACCGTTGCGACTACAGTATAAATAGGCGCCGGGAGCTACACATCATTCTCTTCTTCGTCTTCATTGACTGTTTTGTTTGAAGTGTGCATTTCTGTGGTAAGAGCGATCTCTATTTATCTCATTATGGCGAGAACTAGCAAAGCATTTAAGGATGTGTGCATCCATGTTGACGTTGTTTAACATCTGATGACACACACGATCTATGCGTTGTTTTGTTTGGGCAAAGAGCACGCACGCGATGTCTCAGAGGGGGCAATCGCCGTGCACTGCGAGCGTTTTTTCCAAGAAAAAAAATAAAAAAGCTCCGCTCTCGTTTGTCTCTCTTTTCGAGGAAAGAGGGGCAGCCATCTGCTTCCCGCGATTCAGGACCTACCGCTGATCTTGCTGATAAATTGGAGACTTAAGTAGAATCGGGTGGGATAAAGGGATATAGGTCATCTAAGAAGCAGAAATATTTTGAGAGCAAAAGAATGAAGGAAATAGAGGGGGTCACTGGTTTAAGCACTCCATCACAAATTAATCACTTATTCCTAGATCCACTAGTATAGTACAATGGAAAACTCTTTATGCCCAGTGGTATGTGGGTTTGTGTATAAACAAGATTGCATTGAGCGCTAAAATAGATCCATCACTATGGTGCTTTTGTGTAAACCAGGGTGGGCGAAATTTCCAACAGTTCCCTGGTATTTCAAGAACACAGTCCTCTCTGTCAACACATGCAAGAAATACTTACACTATTCTGATTTTGTTCTGGTGACATTCTAACAGTTTTGTGTGGTTTGGTATTAAAGGTCTGGACTAGCAACCAAAATGTTTTATGATTAAGTCCTAGAGAAAAAGAATCTTCAGAGATTCTCTCTTGTGCCCTTAAGGATGGTGCTTCACTCTGATTTGGTCGAGGTGGACAGTCCCCAGGGAGGTCTATAATATTTCAGTCTATTTGCTTGGTTGCCTTGAAAGACTCAGTTTGAAATTTAAGAAGTGTGCCATTTGAAATCTTCCATCATTGCTCATGGGAAATGAGTTGTGGACAGATACATTTTTGAGCCAGTCTCCTAAGCTGTAAATGCCATGCGACTAATCACTCCACAGTCATCGTCATGACATTGATGCTGACTGGCTCATGGTACCACAAGACAGAAAAACAATTATTGATTAAATCTAGATCACAGAAGGACAAAGTATAAGAATCCTTCTTGAAAAGAGGATAATTGTCTATTTGAATCTATAACTTCTATGTTCTACAAGTGTCAAAATCGTTTAGTGTAACTGTGAAGGATGTTAAAATGGTTGTAGGCTAAGTCCCAAGTATTAGGTAACCCAGAATCTGAAAGTTTAGTCCAGGGGTGCCCAATCCTGCTCCTGGAGGACCAACTCCCTTCAAAGTTGAGCTACAACCCATAATTAAACACACCTGAACCAGGTAACCAAGGTATTTATGAGATCTAGAAACTTCCAGGCAGGTGTGTTGGAGCAGGTTGTAGCTAAACTGCAGGATATTAGCAGGAATGGGCACCCATGGTTTAGTCCATCACCACTGTGTCGTAACCAAGCTATTCAGGGAACCCAAGATGCTTGAGGAGTACTACTCCATCAATTAGTGTACCATACACTTTGGATGGCAATTAGAAGTCCCGCCGAAAGTTGCTCCTAATGACTTCTTGAAGAATGTCTGTTCCTTTAATCTCGGCCTTGAGATAAATATAGTCCACACTGAAGGCCTAAACCTTGTCTTAAGGGCAAATCTGCGCACATTAAGTTTCTAAGTAGCTTCTTGGTCTCTCTGGACCTGTTTACACCCGGTCTCTTCATGCATTTTCTCTGATCGGATAGCTATACAGTATATAAATTTTACTCCTCCCAAAATGTTAAAATAATAAACGTGTGTGAGAGAGTGTTATAAGCTATATGTCATGTCATAGCCAGATATGACCGCGCTAATGCTACACGCATCGCCGTGGATGAGTAGCTGAGCATCTCTTCAGCAAACCAACATGCAAACATTTGTTCATGTGAAATTTGCACATAGCGCGGGAATTGCAGATCGGATTTATATCCGTTTTGCGGAGACACATTAATGTGGCCAAGTCTAAATGGAACCATTTGAACAAAATCAGATAGCTATCCGATAATATAAATTGCATGAAGTGACTGTAGGAACTGCTTATGAACCCAGAGACCCCCCCCCCACACTCCACAAAGTCTGCTTGCAGTAGACATTTAAACAATCAATTCCGGTTAGCGTCTAAGTGGACCCATTACTACTTCTAGGGCCCAGAAATGGCATCATCAACCATTTCCAGGCAATTATAAGAAGAGGTTGGCCACAGACTGAGTGGAATTATTGTCTGTTTGCCTGGAGACAGCAAACCTCTTGCAATTGTCAAGAGTTCTGTTGTTCTGTTGGGGTATGTAAGGTGTATCCAGTGCTCAATAAAGTGAGAAGCTCTTCAGAATGTCTGATGGTGGTTCTTCTGCCTTTCAGCTGTGAATGCTGAGCTCAGATGCAAGGTCTCACCTTAAAGAAGTCCTGAGAGTCATTAATATGGATGATACCCAAAACACTCCCACCTCCAATTCCGCACCATTCAGTGCTGCCACATCAACCCTTGGAGTAACATTCATAGACAAGTGGAAGGTGAAAAGAGTAAGTGATTTTAATGAACAGTTCATCCAGAACGGAATATATTTGCATTATTTACTTACCCTCATCCTTCCAAACCTGCATGACCTTCTTTCATCAGTGAAACTCAAGAGGAGAAACCTTGAAGAATGCCTGCTGTTTTATTCCTTACAATGGAAACAGTGACCATAGACCAGGGGTGTCCAAATTCAGTCCTGGAAGACCACTGTCCTGCAGAGTTTAGCTCCAACTTGCCTCAACATAGCTGCCTGGACGTTTCTAGTATGCCTAGTAAGACCTTGATTAGCTGGTTCTGGTGTATTTAAATGGGGTTGGAACTAAACTCTGCAGGACAATGGCCCTCCAAGAACAGGATTGGACGCAACTGTCATGGGCTGTCAAGCTCTAAAGGAAGACTATCAGTTAGCAATGACTTAAATGTCTGTCTCTTCCTCACATAAAGCTAATATACAGCTTCAGAAAACAATGAATATAGATATCTATATACACTACCTTAATGACACCTCTAAGGTGCTTATTTTAATTGTTTGGAGGTTGACAGGCTGTGGTCACTGTAAAACTCCTCGAAATTGCTACCTTTTTGTCACACTGAACTAGAGTACTGAAGTACTCTAAAGTCAGAGAAGCCTTTGTTCTCTGGCGGATTTTGAAAATGTGACTAAAAGAGTATATATGAGAACAAAGAATTGATAAAGAATTGATAAACGGATTGTCTAATACCGTATGAGAGATGTGTATAATGTTAAAAAAACATCCAATACATCCCTGTGGCTCCAGTCACATGGGCGCACACACACACACACACACACACACACACACACACACACATTTTGAAAATGTGACTAAAAGAGTATATATGAGAACAAAGAATTGATAAAGAATTGATAAACGGATTGTCTAATACCGTATGAGAGATGTGTATAATGTTAAAAAAACATCCAATACATCCCTGTGGCTCCAGTCACATGGGCGCACACACACACACACACACACACACACACACACACACACACATATACTCACACACAAATACTGTTCTCTCCGCCCTGAGTCTATGTTATTGGTGTAAGGTTGAAAATAATCCAACAGGAGTGTACTGAGTATTCAGTGTTATCATGGAGACCAGTATCTGACAGTACAATGCTATATAGCCCACAGTGCTTTGCTAAAAGATCCAGACCTTTAACCACTTCTAATTTTAATGAATTAAAAACTATTACAACATTAATTTAACATGACATTGGTTTGAGTCACATTTTCAAATCTGTGTACTGCAATTAGAACTGACTATATACAATTCACTTAAATTTGCAGTGAAGGATATCTAGTAGGTGGTTGTTATTAAAATACTTTTGTGATATGAATATGCAATAGATTCAACTGCACTCTTAAAAATTAAGGTGCTTCAAAAGGTTCTTCAAGCGATGCCATAGAAGAACCATGTTTGGTTACACAAAGAACCATTCAGTCAAAGGTTCTTCAAAGAACCATCTTTTTCTTGCATTTTTGTAATCTGAAGAACCTTCTTTCGCCACAAAGAACCATTTGTGAAACAGAAAGGTTCTTCAGATGTTAAAGGTTCTTTATGGAACCATTTAGACAAAAAGGTTATTCTATGGCATCGTGAAGCACCTTTATTTTTAAGAGTGTGTTTTAAGCAGCATCTTGCTCATTCTTTTATAGCTAATATGCCTGTAGGTCTGATGATCTCATATTAAATGACCATGAATATTTGTACTTTTAAAATGACATGTCATGATGCAGAATTATTTCACTAAAAGTGCCAAAGGGCTAAATGTTTACAAATATTGTACAGCATATTTTAAGTGCAGTTACCTAATTGACTATTTTGCTATGTCTGGCAACCAGTATTTTTTATTTTAATATTGGAATAAAATGTGACGATAATTATATTCAATGATATTAAACGGTTATGTTATTATACCATATATTTATTTTTTTATATTTTTAGAAGAAATTTAAAACAATGTTACCATAAATGTATACATCTTCATGCACATTTACTAAAATTTGTATTTTAGCCCTATTAAAAAAATAAGTTATGATGAACTCTGTACACCTATTTCCACTTGCAAACCATTAATAATAAATGAACAGTCAAGTGCTGCAGATTAATAGGCAACAGCTTGAAGGTGAAGATTGTATGTAGATGATTGTGTGGGTATAAAATTATGAACTGTTTCTAAACAAGGGCTTTGCAAACTTCTGGCCATAATTCTACATCACTCCTGAACTTGTGACTGAAAGAAAACTGCTTAGGGACAAACTTTTCATGTAGAGCCTGCATGTGACATTGAGATTATGAAGCAGAACTAAACATCAGTAATGTATTCACAGCACAGCACAGGAAATCACACACACACACACACACACATATACTCACACACAAATACTGTTCTCTCCGCCCTGAGTCTATGTTATTGGTGTAAGGTTGAAAATAATCCAACAGGAGTGTACTGAGTATTCAGTGTTATCATGGAGACCAGTATCTGACAGTACAATGCTATATAGCCCACAGTGCTTTGCTAAAAGATCCAGACCTTTAACCACTTCTAATTTTAATGAATTAAAAACTATTACAACATTAATTTAACATGACATTGGTTTGAGTCACATTTTCAAATCTGTGTACTGCAATTAGAACTGACTATATACAATTCACTTAAATTTGCAGTGAAGGATATCTAGTAGGTGGTTGTTATTAAAATACTTTTGTGATATGAATATGCAATAGATTCAACTGCACTCTTAAAAATTAAGGTGCTTCAAAAGGTTCTTCAAGCGATGCCATAGAAGAACCATGTTTGGTTACACAAAGAACCATTCAGTCAAAGGTTCTTCAAAGAACCATCTTTTTCTTGCATTTTTGTAATCTGAAGAACCTTCTTTCGCCACAAAGAACCATTTGTGAAACAGAAAGGTTCTTCAGATGTTAAAGGTTCTTTATGGAACCATTTAGACAAAAAGGTTATTCTATGGCATCGTGAAGCACCTTTATTTTTAAGAGTGTGTTTTAAGCAGCATCTTGCTCATTCTTTTATAGCTAATATGCCTGTAGGTCTGATGATCTCATATTAAATGACCATGAATATTTGTACTTTTAAAATGACATGTCATGATGCAGAATTATTTCACTAAAAGTGCCAAAGGGCTAAATGTTTACAAATATTGTACAGCATATTTTAAGTGCAGTTACCTAATTGACTATTTTGCTATGTCTGGCAACCAGTATTTTTTATTTTAATATTGGAATAAAATGTGACGATAATTATATTCAATGATATTAAACGGTTATGTTATTATACCATATATTTATTTTTTTATATTTTTAGAAGAAATTTAAAACAATGTTACCATAAATGTATACATCTTCATGCACATTTACTAAAATTTGTATTTTAGCCCTATTAAAAAAATAAGTTATGATGAACTCTGTACACCTATTTCCACTTGCAAACCATTAATAATAAATGAACAGTCAAGTGCTGCAGATTAATAGGCAACAGCTTGAAGGTGAAGATTGTATGTAGATGATTGTGTGGGTATAAAATTATGAACTGTTTCTAAACAAGGGCTTTGCAAACTTCTGGCCATAATTCTACATCACTCCTGAACTTGTGACTGAAAGAAAACTGCTTAGGGACAAACTTTTCATGTAGAGCCTGCATGTGACATTGAGATTATGAAGCAGAACTAAACATCAGTAATGTATTCACAGCACAGCACAGGAAATGATAGATTTATCTCCACACACATAAATCACTCCACCAGCACAGCATCTGTCACAGACTCTCTGTTTGTCCACATCATCTTCTGCAATCTTCATTCCTTTATGACTTGATAAATCCTTCCCTCGCAGCTTTAAAGCCATAGAATTAAAAATGTCATGCTATGCTTTGACGAACACAATTTGCTTTAGTTTGTTGACATATTTCCTATTGAAACAAGATTCATATATCTGCTTAAAGTTAATTCTGTTAACTTGTACACTATATAGATGACTTCAAAGCTAGCAGATATGGACTATAAGTAATATATATATATATATCTTTTTGTGCAAGATCCTGCAGGTTATTCGTTTGTATCCAGATATGGCTGTGCAACTGATTTTATTTGACACTGAGGTTTTATTGGTCCTGTGAGTGATGCGGAGAGCATTTGGTCTAGCTTGTGTGTGACACTGATAGTACGCAGTGTGCCGTGCTTGAGATGAAAGGTGCTAAAAGTCGGGCCCCTCTGTGCCGTGGGAGGGACGGAAATGCAGCGAAGGCTCTTTTGAGAAACATCTTGGACGAGCGCAAAGGCCATCAATCATTTAAGCTGGTATGAACGGTATCTTATTCCCGACTGCATATCCTCATCTTCCAGAGCTTGAATTGACCTGATACATCCTCAGTAAGTGAAATAAAGTCAACTTTTTAGGGATGCATCAATGGACTAAAAGAGCTTCTTGCAAAAAGTAGAGGGTGTTTCTGATTTTCTCAGACAGAAACCGTTCGAAATCAGCCTTGTCATGGTTATGTTTGTGGCAATATTAAGGCTGCAAGATTTGGTTAAATATCACTTTTAGAATATTTCTTTACACATACTGCAAATTCACTCAGAATCCAGTTCTCTTTGCATTCACACGGCATCTGAATTTAAAAGTGGATTCAGATCTCTTTCCAGCCTCCAGTTTGTTATTATTCAAAAGAGTGAAGGGGTGATTAAAGCAAAAAAAATAAGGGGTCATATGATGTTGCTAAAAAGAACATTATTTTGTGTATTTGGTGTAATGAAATGTGTTTACGCGGCTTAAAGTTCAAAAAACATTATTTTCCACATACTGTACATTATTGTTTCTCCTCTATGCCCCGCCTTTCTGAAATGCGTCGATTTTTACAAAGCTCATCGGTCTGAAAAGCGAGGTGTGCTCTGATTGGCCAGCTATCCAGTGCGTTGTCATTTGGCCGAATACCTCAAGCGTGTGACGAAAATATTACACCCCTCACCATACTGTGATGCCCTGTCCGGCCGGAGCGACGATTCAAAAACATGAAAACCCATTACAAACGAGGCATTTGTTGCATCCAGTGGGGACATAATTACGGATTATGTAAATAATAAATCTAATATTATTATTTTTTAAATCAACTTAAACACAATTAGTTGAACTTTAGAGCGTTTTAACTCAAGTAGGACTTAATATTTTTTTAATGTACAGTATCTTAATATCTATTTATATGTAATTTCATAATTACTTTTATTGTATTTGAAATATGGTATTGCCAAATGTGTATGATAAACGAAAATATATTTTAATGTAATTTCTATTGAAACGTGTTGTGTATTTAAATTTATTTGTAGTTACACATTTGTAATGATAAAGCTGCAATTTATCACATTTTATACATTTGAAATATTTTAACTTTAAATGTAATATCAAATGACACAGTTTTAAAATTATAATCAAATACTTTTTATGTGCACATCAAAATACTAAAATGCACTAAATAATAATAAAGTGTACTTCTTTAAAGCATGACAAAATATTATTAAAACAATGATTTAGAATGTTCTTTAAAGCTTTTAATTTGACGTATTACAAAGTGCACTTTTAAAAAAAAAGTGTGCTGAAGATTGTTAAGAACAGTTATGACAGTGTCAATGAAAGTTTTTAAAAATATACTTTTAAGATTTACAGTACACTACAAGTGCAGATTCAATACAATCTTTTTTAAGCCCTGTATTAAAAAAATCATAATTTCAAAACAAACAAACAATCTTACTGCATTTTCCTCCTCCTGGCTGTTGCTGGCATCTTCGCTTTTACGGTACTTGTCTGATGAACGTGAGTCTCTCTTACGGCTGGTATCAGTTCCCTCCATCGGCCTCTCACCATCTGTAAACGAGACAATGACCGCACACATTCACTTTATATTTCATAAGCAGTATTATTGGTTCTATATCATTACCATTTATATTGCATACAGCACACTGAATCTATGAGCATCCATTATAGTGACTCTTCTGAGCAGTTTAAATCATTCTCAGAGAGAGAGAGCAAGAGAACACATGGAAATGGCTACAGCTGGGGTGCAAAATGAACACTTGCCAAGTGCCAAATGCAAATAAAATTGCCTTTGGCAAGAAAACTAATAAATAAATACCTCTCGTACACCTGGATGCCAGCAGCTGTGTAGGCAAGTATTATGAAAAATGCCTGAAGAAGGTCTTTGACCAAAATGTTATTTATCAAAAAATATTTGCATGCTACAACACTAGGATTGCTTATTATATTCTTTTCACTACCGTCCAGTTAGCTGATAGCCTTGCAGAGCTGAAATTTGACTATAAACACAAGGTTTGGTCCACATCACAGCTTATTCAAGTCAAGATCTACACACTTAGACAGGAAGAGACTGTCTGACTGACATATAAAGCAATCAAACAGCTTCTTCACTGTTTTGACATGCTAAAACCAGTTAGCCAATAACTTTTAAAGGGGTCATATGATGCGATTTCAAGTTTTCCTTTCTCTTAGGAGTGTTACAAGCTGTTCGTGAATAGATAAGATCCCTAAAGTTGCAAAGACTAAAGTCTCAAACCCAAAAAGATATTCTTTATAAAAGTTAAGACTTGTCCACACCCTCCTAAAATGCCTCGTTTAAACACGCCCCCACATATCTACCTCACTATGTAGGAAGATTTGCATAACACCGCCCAAATGTTCATGTAAAGAAAGAAGGCGTAACTTTGATTCTCGCTGTAGTAGTGTTGCCGCCGCCGCCATGTTGTGGAGACACTGTGTGTTTCGTTGTGAAAGCGAAACTACTTTGTTTGGTCTTCCAAAACAGGACACAACTAGAAATCAGTGGTTAAGTTGTATTTACAACACTGATCCAGAACAGTTCAAACCAAATATTCAGATGTGTGCCTAAAAATGTACAATGTTAAAACATAAGCGGCAAGAAAATGACAGCGCAAAAATACATGCATTATATAGTGGGTACATTTTACCCACTGGCGCTTATAGGTATAAATGCCCCGTTTTAATAAAATTATATAAATGTACATTTGAAAAACAGTCACGGCTAAAATTTACCCCGTGGCGGTTCTAGTGTTAAAGGAAATGCAACTTAAGACAGTTGAGTGTTGTGAATTAATCAAAGAAAAAGAATAATAGTACTTTACTAATAAAAAGTCCAGCAACTTATACCTCAGAAAATGTGGTTTTCAATGTTTTAGCAAGAAGTGCCCTTGTGTCACTGAAGACGGGCCAAAAAAAAAAAACTAGCGAATGAATAATGCAATGAGCAACACAATTGTGTGATCTTTGGTTAATACCGAGTAATTTACATTTCAAATGTAAACTTTTATGTGTGTGTGTGTGTGTGTGTGTGTATGTATAACCATATTGCACATTCAAATTTTCCAGTTCTCGCGCCAGGCAAAAATCTTAAAACTCCATTACCATGCCGCTCACATACTCTGGTCTGGAATGCCACAAACAAGTTACAGTAAGTGCTACAAACAGTAAAGCATGGCGACAGTTTTGCAAAATGACATTATGTTGCTTCTTGCATGTTTTGCGACATTTTAATTTGTGAAATGTCCAGTAAGTGGCGCTAATCTGAAACAATCTGGCAGCATTTTATTACGTTGCGTGTAGTATGTATGAAATATCTGGGAAATTAAATATCTCATGAGTGGCACTAAAAGATTAACACTATCACATATTAAAATAATGTAGACTACCACCTACACAAAACCCTAAACCTAACCAGCTGTGTTAACAAAACGCTTTTGATGAACCATTCATGCCGTTTAGCTTGTTTATACAAGTTTCTGAACTTTTTTGACTTGACTCCTTTTTTCACGAGTACTTCACATTGCAAGTGCAACACTGTACCCGGGGAGCTACTGAGCAAGTTTACTATATGGAGCTGTTTCTGTGATGCAAATGTGAAAATGTATTAGTTTACAAATCATGCACTATGGTAAAAGTGTTTTGAGGTACACAATATTGTGCACGGAATCACACACAAAAAAATATTTAACTGTTCTTTCTATTAACTGATACTTTGCCCCTGCAATCATAATTTGTGTGAAAAATAATAAAAGTTGTTGGTGTTTTACTGCAACGTGTTTATTTCTTCTGAAAACAGCAGAGAATTGTATGTACAGTATACAATAGATACGTTTTTGTGCAGACATGTAGTTAGAGGAACATGTTTTCAATCAGCATTAGTTCTAAACTCTAGCACTTTTGGAAAGCCGTTCGGCCAATCAAATTTGACCAGAACTATCTGTTGCATAAAGCACAATCATGCAAAAACCAATTTTGTGATGTATAACAAATATTTACAGTATGTCCAGCATTTACACCATCATTTGTCAGTAAGTTAACTTTGGACTGGCTACAGTCCAGAAACTAGTGCCGCTAGGTCACTGACACACTTCGGATGGATTATGGGATTGTCCTCCATTGACTGCCATTAGGAAATGAGGATCACTCAGGTGGCATGTTGAAAAGCTAGAAGGATATTCTTGGAGGTGTGTTAACATCGACAAGGATAAAAGATTTTTTCAGCAGTCAGACTAGGAGAGGGACTACAAGGTAAATATGTCACAAAATTCTGCCTTGACAGAAGCTCCTTATAAAAGGAAACTGTGTCAAAAGAATAAAATATCATTGCAAGAGTGTTATTGCCTGTGGGGTGATTATGAGTTTACCTCTTTACAAGCACAGTCACGCATACAAGGAACTAAAACAGTTTATGAAATGAAGTTGTACTGTAACCAGAGGGAATAAGGCTATAAAATATAATGAATGCTTCTATAATAAAAAATTCTCTTGATAACTACTAACTATAGGGGAAGGGCATTTGTGGTCACAGCCTGGAGGTCTAGGAGACATTGCATATGCACTTGCATGTGCATAGAGTGTGTCACTGCAAATAATAAAAGGCTGGTCCTCAAAATGAACAAATATTGTAAGACTGGGCTACTGGGTTTCGTTCCACCATTTGGCTGCCTTGAAGTATTTGTTACCATTTATTTTAATTTATGATCTTGCAATAAGTCATTATTAAAGGTGAAACTAATTTTTAACTACAATCTCCGACATGGCAGTGTTCTTAGACTTTATACTGACACCTACTGGTGTGGATGCAACATCACACAAATACAAATGTTTTCACTAACCGATGAGTGTAGAAGTACAAAAATAATTGTATGTGTCAGTCAAGATTAATTTGTTGCAAAGACAAAGAGTTAGAGGAAACATATTTAGTTATGCTATGCAAGTAGTATTTGTCTGGTCATGTGATTTCAACATGGCCGCCACCATAAGGAGGGACCCACATTGTGTAAAATAAAATAGCTTTTCCTGGGCTACTGACATGATTGGAGTCATCATCTCATTTATTTAATCCTTTTGACAATTTTTTAAGTGTAAAACATTACTTGAAGGCGCTAAGTGTAAGCTACTACACACTTTGACATTTATTCTACCCAGAGTGAGGGATCAAATGTCAAGAAGATAAAATAACAAAGGCAAAGCAATCACAGGTATAAAAACTGCAATCCTGAGTTGCCGGGAAACTGTCAGGGCCACCCTAGGAATTCACTTAGTGTATAATTAAAGCATGAGGATGAGCTCCAGTCACAGCGTGAGTATCTGTATCCCACAAGGTCTTTGTTGTTGCAGTACCTCGACCAAAATAAGGGAAAAGTTTTGATACTGGCTTTGTCACTTCATTACCAAACCCCTTATTTGAACATCCTTGAATTTGTGAATTTCACAGTGATCACCACCATAAAAAATCTCTTTACACCTGACTGAAAATTGAGTGGTTATAAATTAATTCCAAATGGAGAACCTCCAGTAAATGTCATACTCTCAATTAAGGTATATTTGCATCAGGGAAAACAGCAGAAATTACATTTTAACAAATAAAAGCAACAGAGACAGGTGCTGTACTCCCAGGGCACTGCCTTTTATGCAAATGTCCATGCTTAAATATTCATGAGCTGCAAAGCAAAAATTAATGGAATATGCAGCGCAGGTTGGATTTTGGACTGTTTTACTTTTAACCAACTCGGAGTCCATCAGCATGTACCTGAAAGAGGTGTGGATATTGTGGATCAGATCCATTTCCAAAATTGCAGAGACAAAGAGAACAAACACATGCGAAGAAGTTCTGAACAAAATTCATTAATTGAGTCCAGATGTTATTACAGTGACACCAAATAAAAAATCTAAGGTAATTACTTATGAAATGTATCATTATGATAATTGTGTAGATATTCCAAGGGTATGTTAAACCAAGCATTTTTGGTTTTCTGCCCAGTGAGTCCAGAATTCTTAGTATCAGTTAAAATTTCAAAATGTAAGACAATTTTGACAAAATACAAAATTGCAGCAATTAAATACATTTTGTATTTTTTTCCCTAGGTCTCATCTGTGGTTATTAAATTTAGACGCGAGTCACTTAAAAGATTCAATCCATCACAAACACACTTAAGAACACATACAATAAGTTCTGTAAGCTGCTCAATATGTCAAAGCATCTGCTAAATGACCATACTAGTTTATAATGGTTAAATGTAAACATCATGCAGTTACACAGAAACTGACGGCTTGTGTTTCCTTCATAAATATACACTTCTCTCTGCGGAGAGGAAATAAGCACAGCTTGATGTGCGGTTTATTTAACTTTATAGAGCTGAGTCTTTGTGAGGCACACTGGTATTTATGAGCGTGAGCATGGTGTGTTCAGATGTTTCAGAAAATGAAAAATGGCTTTCTGACCTGGATTCTCAGCTACTTCAGCTATTTAAGGGTTTGATTCAATTTATTTAAAACAACAATAACTTGTACAACACATCCTAACAATT